ACATAAACACCATTATCTTGATATGAACGATTCTCGGGTGAACGGTGAGCTAGAAAATCTCGACGGTTTGATTAAATACGAGTTGACAGAAGCTGGATGGCTTTCAACTCTACAATCTATCTGCTAACTACCGTCTCATTAATGGTGTCATGGCTCGCCCACCCAAAACTATTTGATCCTACAGTCGACCCAGAACTGCTTGATCCAGAAGTGCTTGATCCACTAGATTCACTGACTGCCTTTGCCTTCTTTTTCTCCTTTCCGGTCATACTAGCCGATCTGTCTGGCTTTTTTGATGGAGTTTTCACCTTGTTATGGTCGCGGGAGCTTCTGCTTGGCTTTTCTTTCTCGTGGCAGGGCCTACCAAACTTGTCCTTGGTGAGAACCGACTTACCTGGTTGTCCTCCAATCGCCCAAATCATAAAGTTAATCTTTGCTTGGTTTGAGTTGCCCATCTTGATCTCTTAATTTCGTTTACTGATATGGAAATAATGTCGTAATAGGTCTGCTGTTCAGTGGGCTAGGAATAATGAAGCCGGCAATTCCGTCTAAGAGGTCTATGCCTATAGAGATTGGAAATAAAATTTACCTGGTCTCTTGGGGGAATTACTGCCTTAAATCTGTAGAAGAGCACCTATTAAACCAAGTCTTTGTCGCTTAAAGCCCATAACATTACCAAAACTTCAGTGTAGTTTCTAACAAGTTTACTTGTTCGTCCCATAAACAAGGAAAGTAACAAAGAGGGCTAAGTCAGATGTAAAAACTCTTTCTGTAACCCAGGTTTTTGTCTATTTCTCTCACAATCTCTTGTGCTGTATGATGTTGTACTTGTGTTATCTTGGAGTAGGTTCACTAGATGTACCTATTGATGTCTTCAAAAATTACATCATTCTGCCATTAAAGAACAGAATGACATTATTGGCCCTACACACATAATAATAATGTCGACACTCTAGCAAATATTAGGATACCAAGTCTATAGCAACCGTTCACATACAAGCTTAATTAAAGTTTTTTTCGTTAGACTTAAATTTATAAATAGTCACCCGTAGCTAGAAACATACATCAGAACAGGTTATTGCAAAGGGTATGCCAGTCATATAAGCGTTGAGTTGATACCATTATTCACAGAGATATTTCTGTTAGTATGTTAGGTCGTTGGGCGTCCTACATTATAAGTGTAATATATCCTTCAAGATCTCCTAGACTAGGCACTTAGACTTTAAACAATCTAACGATTATCCATCTTGATCTTTGGTGATTTCCCACCGATATATTTCTCGGGATGATTCCACATCTTTTCAACATCCTCTGGGTCCTTGGCGTAATCAGTTAGCTTGCGTCCTTGAGCTTGCCCTCCTTGAAAGACGAGCCTGAATATTAATAATGATCGGCTCTACTAGTAGACGCTCTAACCATGACTAGGTATAACTTGTAGCTTATCTTCTTGATGGGCATTTAAGGTTAGAACTAAAGTAGCCGTAGCCTGTTACATGTTTACAATAGGTTGCTCATGTAATATCCCTAAAGAAGGGTTATATATTGATTCTTGCACGATGATGGCGTAGGGGAGGGCTAGGGAAGATTACCATAGATTACCATTGTATCCCTCGGTAGTGAGTCAGTCTCTCTTCCCAAACTAGTCGTTATCGGCGCCAGAGTCTTTGTTAGGCCGAAGTCTATCACCGCTTTGAGCGCAATGTGTCAGCCCTCGTGCTCAAAAAGGGGTAGCGACAGCTGTTATAACTTACTTCCTGGATCCACGGCAAAATCAGTAACGCCCAGTTTCCTCACCTTCTTGGCCATGGTGATGCTGAAGTGGAAGTTCGCAGTCTTAGCCCGACTACATGCGATCTAGTCGTGGTATATTTTACTATTATCATACAATTTTTCGATGGTATCAGTCAGCCTATCTTTAAGCACGTACGTATACGCAAGATTCTGCACCTGTTCAGCATTTTCGTAGAGTTGCGCTTGGACATCAACGTCGGTATAATTTAGATTAGCAGGCGTCTAAGATTAATTAGTAGCGTCCGATATGCTGCCTTTACCTTTAGCATCATCGGAAATCAGAAGGTTATTCAAAAGGAAATACCCAAAATGATTAGCGGCGAGCTACTACTCGACACTCTCGGCCGGCTTCTTAGTATTATTGTATAGCATATCAATTCGATCAAGGGCAGCCTTCTTAATTTTAGCGACTAAAGCTCTTTTTTGCATAGGAGATCCGTAAGGTTCAATTTGACGAAAGTGGTGATAATACCACCGTTACTACTCTTCTTAATTGCTTTTATAGTTGACTGGATTTTGGACAACTAGATAGCGGCTTTCTAGAATGAGTTTCTCTACCTTCACTGAGGCCGGAGCAGTAGCTACTATAGCATCTATACCGCCGTATCTATGACCAGTGATAGCAATTAGATAACAGCCCGAGTTAGCACAGAAATCCTGTTGTCTCATCGAGGTGAGGCTCGACTACCTGACTCAGGGGCTGAAGGGGATTTGAGTACAAGTATTGCTAGGGGCATCGTCCCCTTAAGCTTTGAAAGCGTTACTGACCACGGGATCGACATTAAATTTAGGCATGGCATACAATTTGTTTCACGGATGAATACTACCTCTGGTGGTGCAATTGATGATACAACATATTCACGACGTTTTGTGTTTGTACGCACACGGACTCGAGAATTTCTGTCGCATCCATATCAATAACTTCTTCATTGCGATTATTATCAGCAAATGCTCTGGCTAGCATCACCTGAGAGCTTCCAGCTGATGTTATCACCACACGGCGACTCGCGCACGGTGTTGCCATTCACAGTAAGTGTGATGGAGATGTCGCTGGTATTTGGAAACTCGTCACGCGCTGATATCCGAACCTCGCCACCGCCCTCAACGGTTCCGCCGTTGATCGCAACATTGTAGCAGTTCTCGATCAGGATTGCATTATTACCGTTGTCGGCGAGGTCGATTTCCTCGATGACGGCGCCGCCTGACTGTGAGACACAGAAGATGCCCCGTCCGCCACCGCGCGAGACCACCTTGTCGACGTACACATTGGGCGTGTAGCTGCCATCGGCCAGTTGTCCATTATTGTTCGCCATACGGAAAGTGGCGTACCCATTGCCCGCAGCGACATTGTCGCCATCGACGAGCCCCACCTGGGCATTCGTCGTGGTCTGCAGCAGCAGGCCGCACTCAGCCACGTCGCGGGCCACAACGCTGCCGATGGTCAGTCCGTCGATGTTCCAGGTCTCGACGGCGTGGCTACCGGCGCCGGTCACGGTGACGGTGTCCATGGTGACGTTGGCGTTGGCGGCCTCGTCACGCTCGAAGCGGATGCCCAGGCCACCACTAAGGTCCATGTTGATCTCGCCGAGGGCGAGGTTCTTCGTGCCGTAGAAGCGCAGCCCGAAGTAAGGGTCCCCCGTCATGCTCAGATAGGGTATTTGTACGTCCGTCGTGTCGAGCGACTCGATAGCCCCGTGCCCGGCCCGGTTCCCCACGTCGATCGTGCCGCAGCCCTCGAAGATCTTGCCGCTACTGATGCTGATGGTGCTGGCGCCGATCGAACCCGACGCGATGACCGCGACGCGCTGCCCGCTGTCGATCGAGTCTAGCGCTGCTTGGATCGCCTGGAGGTAGTTTGATCCTGAGTACACTGACTGAGACCCCTTCGTGGCAGTGTACGAGCCTCCCGAACCCTCCACGCTGGCATCTGGCGTACCGGAGCCACACTGGCCGCGGACCACAGACGCGAGCGCTAGAGCGACGGTCACGATGGAGAGTTGACCCATGGTTTCTTCCTCGTTTACTAGTCGCGAGGATGAAGTTTTCGGTCACTTTATTTCCACCACATCTACAATAAGCGGGAAAGTCGCGTACTCATACTATAAGAGACGGCAGTCTCATTATAACGTTGATGAGCCGGGGATAATATTCCTAGAAAACATTACTAACAATTAGTGTAGACCCCTCAATTACAGTACCATCCCGGTGGCTAATGTGATGCTTCAAATAAATCCGTTGCAATGGGGACAGATCTTCTAATTAGTCTGCGACACATGCCTAGAGGCTAGCAGCCGGGCCTTTAAGCAGGATTTCAGGGACAGGAGAGCTGGCTTGGGTTGCTTGGTTGCAACACTTTTGGAAAAACACGAGATTCTGCCGTCAAAGGAGATGTAACCAGTTTTAGCACGGAGGACGCCAGGTTTACATCCTTTAATCTTCCAGTCTTGGATGCCTACATGCCAAGTGTTACACCTAGGCAGGCCGCAAGGACTAGTTCTGTAGCTACTCCCTTCGGTCACAATCTTTCGCCGGCGGACTCTAATTAATATAACACTCCTCGCAACACATAAGCCGAACCCCGAGGGCTCTAACACTGCTCTTCCCGCGTCATCTTGCAATTGTATTTTTCAACGAGTACTTGACATCAGCAAAAAAAACCGGCGCTCTATATTAAATACTCGGCATCTAATAAATATTAAAATAGAACGAATGTAAGAGAGTAAGATAGAGTAGATTGAACTAAGATAGAGTCTGCAGGTAAGGGTGGAAGACCCGAACTGTACATACGTATACGGAGGATGTGGGGCCGTATCCCCGTAATTCAACAGTATAACTGTTACAGGCCGGTCGTCCGAACAAGAGATTCCAGGTCTTCACCATTCCGAATGTAAATGTCAAGCATTTAATAGACATGGCATGTCCCAGTCAATCGCACCTGCGGCCATGCTGTTTTGACACGTCCTTTTGGAGTGAAGAAGATGACCCTCTTTGCTGGCAGGGATAGTGATATACAAGTTATGAGCTTGTCAATTGAGCTCTTCTTTTCCTTTGTAAATTCCTAGGCTGTGGGTATAGAGCTTAATCGTAAATATGTTTTCCGGACTGCAGAGAACCTACTAGAATATCGATGTAATACTGGAACTTGGGTAAGGCGAATCAGCTAGCTGACTATGTACACAATAAGGAAAGGCTCGTTAATCAATACCACTGGTCGGTTAGCTCAGTTGGTTAGAGCGTCGTACTAATACAATTCAGGTTGTATCAAGTAATGCGAAGGTCATGAGTTCGACCCTCATACTGACCAATTCAATTTCTTTTTCGCTTTAAGCACTTTTACCCTCCACTGCTTGTTTTGATTAATATTTTTTCTATGTTATGGACGCTCTGCCTCCAGCGACGTGGGAGAGGTCGCTGCTGCTCATCCGGCTTTAAGGACCACTTTCCTCTCCCCCTCTTGCTCACCTCAATGCGGTACCTATGCAGTGGTTCTCTGTGGGGAAGGGGGTACAACGAAACTTTCCATAAACTTGACGACAGCCTCAACTCGACCGGAATATTTATCGAGAAGAGTGTGTATTGGCACCGAGACGGATGTCCATTCCTTGTCTACAGAGTTAGCCGCGTCGAACATCTCGTTGTCATGCAGCCAATTCTTGCAGTTCGCGAAAGAGTAGAATAGCTCCGCGATAGCTGCGTCCATTTCGTTAAAGATGATTTTGCCTTCTTTCGAAGGGGCTTACATAAAGGCCTCGCTCGCCTTACTAGATCCGGTCAAGATAACATCATCGTCGTCATTCAGATCGAGATGAAAAATCGCATCGTCGTCGAGGTCCGTTGTGTCGTAGAGGTCCTCATCGTCATTGTCAGCCTGCGATACCTTGGCGTCGGGTTTATCGTCTTTAGCGGGCGCCTCTTCGACAGTCTCGGGGCTTCGGCGGCTTCGTTATAGGTGGCTTTGGTGGTTTCGGCTTCGGGGTTGGTGGCCTTTGCGGGCTCGGGCTGCGTCGGTTCGTTGCCCGTGCCTTAGTTGGTTTCGGGCTTAGAGATGTAACGATGAAGATGCATAAGAGCTCTGACCGACGAGTCTTTGCCGTGCGTCTGGGCCGCTACTGTAGTGGTCCAGGGCTGTATTTCGGCAACACTGGCTAGTAATCCGGGTGCATATGCGTCTGGTCATACATAGGTACCCTTGTACGCTGTATATATGCCCCTGAGCGTTCCCTGGAACGTGCTTCGCTTTGCGATGCTTGTAACATTTTTACCCCAAGCGTATAACGGCGATGATGAGGACCGCTCCGACGGCTGCTCCGAGCTGCTCCGACTGACCCCTACGCCAGCCTTCGCCCCAATGTCGTCTGTGTCCGATTCACTCAAAGTGTCCTTGGTGTGCGAGGCGGAAGAAGTTGACGAGCTGGCGTCGCTGCTGCTAGTGGTCGTGGTTGTTTCTGTCCCCGAGCTTCCAGTCGATGTTTCCGTCTCCGAGCTTTTGGCCGATGGCGGAGAGGGCTCATGAGTGTCGAGGACGGTCCCGATGACAGCATACCCCCAAGTCCATCCTAGCGCAGATGACGGTCCGCCACTGCTTTATTACAACAGAGCTCCTTTCGACAGAGTGGAATGCATGGGAACTTGTAGTACCTAAACCTTCGATGTTTAGGCCGCTTCTGCAAACTGGATGACGGTCTTGTTGCTACACCTAAGCAGAGTCGGCTATGTAATAGCACATCGCTCGTTAATCTCACAACGGTCGGTTGGCTCAGTTGGTTAGAGCCCTCATACTGACCAGGTTGTATCTTTGGCCCTCACTTTTGCTGTGCCTCTTTGTTATAGCCTGTGTCTAATATGCACCAAATATTCACATGGTGTCAAGCGTTCCTAGCGACTTGGGCTCTCCTTTTTGATTCATATCCGGGCAGGAAGCAGGCTCGCTACACTTGCCATCCTCAATCCCACCAATTTAATGCAGCGGAGTCCCGGCAAGATCGACGCTTCGGTCCTCGAGAAATTCAACCTAGGATTTGGCCTTCCTCGCGTTCTCGAGCCCAGTAGCTGTAACCCACTGCGTTCGGGTCTGGCGCGAACTCGTCTCAAGCCTTTGGTACTGTTATGGATGCCGAATCGCAGGGCCGGGTCGCCTAGCACGGCATCCGAAGCAAAGTAGTTTGTGTGCTGGCCTCCGTCTTGAGCAAGGTGGGCACTGAAGGGAGATGGCCTCTGAGCTGGCTTCTGAAGGTATGTTTACAGCCAATTTGAAAGGCGGGTGAATGCGCATTCGAATTTTCCATGCGCTAAGACATTGAATTGTTTCTCCACGCAGGAGCGTTCTTCGCCGGTCCTGCGAGTTGCGCCTTATTCGACGGGTTTTACCCGTAGATGCCGACGAGGTCATGACGCTCTTGGGGCTGGAAGGTCTGATTGCGTTGACAGTCCGAAGAGGCTCGTGGCTTATGGGCTGTGGTGTTCCTTTCGTAACACTTGGGAGATGATTAGGCATTGTCGACGCACGTGAGAGCTTCTGCCCCGTCGGTCTGATCGACACACCGCATCCCTTGCGAATGCTGTGGAGCTTGACTCTTAAACAGCTGTCCATTTTTGAGATCCTCTTGCGCCGCTCGTTCTAGGGCTGGGTTGAGGTTCTGGAGCCGTTGCGCATAAAGTGCTTCAGTAACGGCCATCTCATACTCTATTGACAGTAGATGGTGGGCAGAGAGATGCTCAAAAGGGTTGCTCATATCCGTCTGCCCCTGAGCACTGTCAACAGTCTGGTTTAATCATTAAAGAGCCTGTACTATCTCGTCTGGGGCAAAGCTCAATGCGGCAGAGCCTAGTTCTGACCTATCTGCAGATGAGCGTTGGTTGGACTGCTGGATGCTCCGAGTAGTAGTCGGAGTAGGACATATCGCCCTGTCTTGTTTGTTGGCGGCTTTGAGTGTTTTGTCTTCAGAGTATCGGCCCGCCGCATTCCTTCTCCGACTCCGACTCTGACCCTTCTGGCTGAGTTTGGCACTGATCCTGTCCTGAATGACGTTGGCGAGCGATAAGCTCTGCTGCAAGATCGAAGTCGGATCCTCTCCCAAATATTTTTCGGCCCATTGCAGGAACTAAGTAGAGTAGTGACTGATTATCAAGTGCTTGCCACACTTTGATTCTGATATCCTGTATGCATGCTACTCTGCCAGTAGCGCTCCTTTCGGGCCATATTCGAAACCACCAGATGTCCAGTGAGTATAGTGGCAGATGGAGCCCTTTCTGAGAAAGAAATCAGGTACTATTTCTTGTCAAGTAGCCAAAGAATCATGTTGAGTCCAGCTTCGAGGCACATAGTGCTCTTACGGACAAGTGTCGGCTTCGCGTAGAATATAGCTGCCGGGTGATCAAGGAGCAGTGTGAACCTTTTCAGATGTTGGCCTCCCGTGTCGAACTCCAGTTAACGCTGAGTTTCCCATCAGATGGAGTAAGCATGATCTCCACGAACCTGGCCAATTCGTCTAGGGACTTTTTTGTGCAACTTGGTCGGACAAGCACCCGCAACGACAAGAAACGGCAGGGGTAGAGTTTTGGCAACGCCAGTAAAGAACTGACCGCGAAGCTGTTGAGTTGCCTAGGCCAGCTTGCTGTCGATGACGCTATGACAAATATAGGCTCGATGAATCAAGACAAGTCCATGTCCTCAAGAGGTCCGTCGCATGACTAGGGATGTTAAGGGACGCTTCCGTAGTGGCCAAGCTGTTGGGTTGCGTCGTTGGCAATGATGTGCTTTTCAGCCACTCCAGTGGGATCCAGGCCACGTACGGTAACTTGCTTATTATGGTAGTGGCAGTGGATCGGTACTGGAGTTAAGTTGATTGGGGAAAGAGTCTAAGTTTGGGTGGCTACCTAGTTAAGTTCAAACCTTCCACTTAAGCCGCCATTGTCGTAAATCGGGCAGGCATATTTGCCAACAACACAGACTTCAGTGTGTAGGGTATATGGAGTAGGAAAAGAATTTGCTCATCCAACTACATCTAGTCAAACTGGTCGGGTCGGTTAGCTCAGCTGGTTAGAGCGTCGTACTAATACAATGCGAATTGTATCAAGTAATGCGAAGGTCATGAGTTCAATCCTCATACTGACCAACTTTCTTTTTAGACTCACTCTCCTTAAGAGGTGAGAAACGCAAATCTGTTTTTTCTTCGTCCTTCGTTTTTCTTATCTTATCTACGCCTTATTTTTACGTCCATACGTCAGGGTTGGCCGCGGAGCAGACAGCGACAGAGTGAGTAGAGTACCTGGTACTGCTAAAGAGCTGCCGAAGCAGGAGCTGCTGAGGCATGCTCTCCCTCCATGTACAAGCCGGGTTTGCATAATTAGCTACAGTTCAGCGCTATAGGTACATACATATACATTGTACCCTTAGGTATAGTTCAATGCAAGCCTGCCGAGTCTGTGGCTGCTGCCGCATCAATTGGGGGGGCTTCCAGGATAAGGTCTTATCTAACTGGGGGTCCACTAAATTTTTCTCTTATCGCGCCTCTGTGTTTGCTTTGCGCTGCTCTTCCAAAAACACATTCATCATCTTACCTATTTCAAACCGACTTAGCAGTGGCATCACCATGAAGGTCACCAACCAAGGAGATGTGTCTGTGTACACAATAGCCGGCGCCAATACGGCACGCCCTCTCCCAGACTGGCAAGTCATTCCTGCTCCATGCGACTCGAACATGTCTAATGTCCATCTAGGCTTGCCCGTCGACGGAAACGTAGCTTGAAGTCGGACCCCGAATACCAGAACAGGGTCGAGCTTTTGCAGGATTTTGAGTTTGAGGAAGCGAGTCAATGTGTGAGAATTTCTGAAGATAATGACTGGATTATGTCCACTGGAACATGTTAAGTCGTGCCTACATTTAGTTGAGACGTGGAGCAAGATGTTAATGTCTGGCAGATAAACCCCAATTTCACGTCCATTACCTCCCTCACTTAGCCTTGTCGTTTTCACGACATACAAAATCGCTTAATACGACCTTCCTTTTACTCTCAACCGATTATACAAAGTCTCTACACCTGCAGAGCGATCGGAAGCTAGAATTTCATGTAAGATGTTCATTTTGCTATTCCTATGCATGACGCAGGGCACTAAATCGTAGCAGACGCCTGCTGGTTGTCATTACGAATTGCGACTGCCTAGGTATGGAAGAGATCTTGTTTACGATCGCCACTCGACCGAGGCATTGATACCTTCTGTCGGATTGGGTTCTGACGGCAATGGTGAAGTGTTTCGTATGAATCTCGAAGTCGGCAGGTTTATGAAATCATATCAAGTCGACG